CCTGTTGGAGACACTTGGATGACTTCCTGCTTTTGGAAGTCAGTAGAAGGAGGAGTGAAGGCCAGTTGTGCAGCTGATTCCATGGCAGGTGCAACAGTCAAATTTGTGCTCAATGTCACAAGTGTAGTTTGGACTTGTTCAGTGATAGATGATGGCAGAGGAAGCTGTGAAGGAGCTGCTGCTCCTCTTTTCAAAGTCCTATGTTTGTCCCAATCAAGAGGCACTGGCCGGCAGCCTGGTTCTACACACTGAAGTCCAAATCAGTGTCCTGGTTTGAGATTTAGAGTGCAGGATATTTTTCCTGGCCAGTGACCCTTTTGGAAGAAGTGTTTAATTCATCTATCAAAGCTGGATCAAACACAGCAGGAAGGACAACTCCAGGCTGCTTCAGGTCCACCAGTCTTTGGTAGTTCCAACGCACAACTCCTATCATGCCCTGTGCTTGGAACAGCTCAGTGGAGACCAGATTTCCAGTTATCCACTGGGCCTGATGGAAATGATAACCCTCCTGCTGTGATGTCCCTCTGACGGGTATCCAAATAGGGACCTTTGCACCTTCCCCAGGCACATGGTTCAGCTGAAGCATTCCACCATGCCTGTACATGATGCCCTCAGAATGCATGGAGAATATGTACTTTTTGGATGTGCCACGTCTTCAGCATGGATGGCTTAAACAGAGGGRTGTCGTTGGGATCCTTGGCCAGGTAAAAATGTTTCAGCACTTTCTCCACTCTGTCCAGTAGCTCTGTGGGGTGTGGTATCCTGGTCCTGCAATGCTCCCGGATATGTTGTTTTGTTGGATTGGCTGGCACGATACCACAGAACTCATAAGCCTCCTTGAGCTTCTTCAGATCTTCCTGATCCACTACAGAGAAAGCAGCCGAAAGGAGCTGGCAGAAGGTGCTGAAAAGAGGGTGATGTTCACTTGTGAATTCCCTGGAAAAGCACTGCATACAGTGGAACAAGTCCAGCTTCACAACAATGTCTGGATTGTAGCTTGACCTTGAGGGACAGGTGTTAGTCAGAGGTCCTGAAGTGGCCGCAGCTATGGTGGAAGGGGTTGTTTTCCAGGCATCCCAGTTTAGATGCTCACCAGGGATGGAGTCTGTGATCTTAAAAGGAAGCACAGCAATCCCTAAAAAGAAGACAAGCAAAGATATTTACTCGTGTTTCTGTTGATTATTAAATAATTTTCCTATAAAAAATGTGTATTATACAATGTCTTGGAAAAATAACTYATCCTCTAAAGTCCCACATTCTTCTCAGGTCAAGAATCTGTGACCACTTTTGCTTAACCTAAAATTTCATCATGTTTTATTATTTCACTCCAAGATTATGATATATGATAAAAATAAAAACTAAATATTAAAGTTTTTGTTGTGCTTTGTTTTTGTGTCATTGGGTACTTGATCATGTCTCACATGTGAACAACAGAATTTGTAGCAGTTTAAAAAACAGTGAAAGCTGTGGATGGCTGTTCTTACCTGTCCACCCAGTGGAAGCCTGCCTTCTCCACTCCAGCGTCTTCGTACCTCTTGGCCATTCCCCGGTACATTGGTTCCAAGGATCTGTTGCTCTCGGACTGAACCATCACCCAGGAGACGACTAACCAGTGCTCGTTCATAATTGCATAGCTGGACATGATCCCAGATGCAAGAGTGACCTTTCGTGCTACCTTTCTGGTGTGATCAGAMCTGAAGACCTGCCCAAACGTGCCTTGGAGAAGTCTTGACAAAGCTGGCTCTTGACGTCTGTACTCCTCGAGCAAACAGTCTGTGAGGTAGAAGCCAGACACAGAGATACCGCACCAGCCATTTGGATCTTCATAGGAGCTGAATGGGTAYGGTGTGTTGCTTTTCCTGATGAACTGCCCCATGGTCCTCTGTCCATGCACCCCAGCCTCTGCATCCCAGATGCTCTCAGTGGACTAGATATGCTAAATGAGCTCGTTCATATTTAAGATGCATGAGCTCATGCACTTGGTTAGCCATATCTGTGGGTTACTTTCCAGTGCGTCTCAGCTCATCCATGACTGACTTACAGATGGCCTTCTTGTAAGTAAGAAATGCAGGCAGGAGGTTGGTGAATCTTCTGGGCAGCTTCTCCAGCCAGCGAAGACTATCAGCAAACCAGTTCCATCGACAAGACTTGCAGCAAAGCCTGGAGGACAGGATGAAATATTGACCACTAGTCCCAACTATCACCCGAGGATGGCCCACACCAGCAGAAACAACTTGTGGTTTAGAACAGCCATGAAGACATGGTAGATTGTAGTTGTTTTTCAGCCTGGACATAATTTCATTTTCAGGTTTCCAAATGAAGAATGGGTGAAGCTGAAAGAAGTTGGGTGATGGAAGTTCAGCTACTGTCTGTACTNATTGTGAATTTAGACTAAAAAAGCAAACTTTAGCTAGTAACAGCTGAACATTTATTAGAATTGCAGCAAATAGCTGAAAACTACTAACAACCACCAAAAAACATGTGAAAGGGGCCTAAGAGGTACAAAAACTAGCAAAAATCACGAAAAACCATCAAAAAATATGTGAAAGGGACCTAAGAGGTCCAAAAACTAGCAAAAATCACGAAAAACCATCAAAACATATGTGAAACGGGCTAGGAGGGTTGCAAAGTACTGTAAACCACCAAAAACCATCAAAAACCATGTGAAATGGGTCTAGGAGGGCGGAATACTAGCCAAAATCACTAAAAACCATCAGAAACCATGTGAAAGGGGTGTAAGAGGGCCAAAAACCAGTAAAGATCACCAAAATCCATCAAAAAGTAAGTGAAAGGAGCCTAGAAGGGCGTAAAACCACTGCAAACCACCAAAAACTATGTGAAAGGGGAGTAGGAAGGCAGAAAACCACTGAAAACCATCTGAAAGGAGTCTAGGAGGACCAAATACCAGTCAAAACCAACAAAAARCATCAAAAACCATGCAAAAGGGGTCTAGGAGGGCCAAAAACCACTTAAAACCGTCAAAACCCATAAGAAAGGGGCATAGGAGGGCRGAAAATCAGTCGAAACCACCCAAAACCATGTGAAAGTGGCGTAGGAAGGCAGAGAACTACAAAAACCTTAAATTCAAAATGGCCGACATGTCATTTTATGTCTTGAGTTGTCTTGATTTTGCAAACAATGGTCACTGATGACACACCAAATTCATTGCAGATTGGATGAGGTATCAGTGAGYTATCATTGTTTATTCTAGGTGGCGCTGGTGACTCAAACTCCAATGTAATCCTGAAGTCCTCTTCAGAGGTTATCAAACATCATAGATTTCCAGTTTGGAGCAAATTGGATCATGCATGTGGGATTTAGAGCCAAATGTATGTATGCAAACGGCGAGAAAACCACAAAATTCAGAAAATAAAAATGGCCGACATGTCATTTKGTTTCTTGAGTTGTCTTGCTTTTGCAAGCAGTGGTCACTGATGACACACCAAATTCGGTGCAGATTGAATGATGTATCAGTGAGCTTCAAGTTTTATKTAATGTAGGTGGCGCTGTTGAGTCAAACTACATTGTAATCCTATAGGCCTCTTCAGAGGTTATCAAAGATCATAGATCTCAAGTTTGGAGCAAATCGGATCATGCTTGTGTGATTTACAGCCAAATTGGCTGCATTAGAGTAATTAGAACTTAGGTATAGCGGCCAGCTTGGTTTTTGGATTTTGTCTACAATTTGWGATAGAACTGACCATTAGCTACTAGTGTAACAATTTTTAGCTAATTAGGTTGAATATTGGCTGAATTAGAGATGTTTGTATAAACCTGTGATGTCTATCTGCTGTAGGTAAGCCAGTGACTAACCCACAGTTGGGCTGTAGACTGAGCTGCATATGGTTTGACATGGCAGAGTGAGAGGCTTGTCTACACAGAAACAGCCTCAGCCAATCAGAAGGCTGGATTCTGGGGGATGTGACAGGCAACATGAGTAGAAATCTGCAGCACGACAGTGAGGAGATGGGTCATTTCAAACAGCCGCTGTGAAATAAATTGCCTGGTTTAAACCAGACCCTGTCCTTCACTTTGCTTCACTTTGAAGATAAATTGTCTTGATATGCACCTACAATTCTGTCGTAACACAGGTTACTGGGCAACTTGCCTCAAGAAAAAAATCATCCTCAGCCTTTTTCTCTGGGCTTTGAGTTTGCACAACCTTCTGCCTGGAGGAGGGGCATGAATTTGTCTTAAGCTAAATGGGTGGGGGTGGGGTTAGCTGTAATGCTTCTCTGCTCTGGTTATGCTTCTGAACGTTTTCTGTTGAAGGGAGGGAATGAACGCAGCCATTCAAGGCTTTTCATAACAATTGAGCTCAGCAACACTGAACAGCAGTGACGTTAGTGG